TTAAATGATCTCCAAAACTAAAAATCAGACCTGCATACTCTGTAAGCGAGGAAAATGTTCAGCATTTCATCCTCTTTGTAATGAGCTATTATTTATAATTTATATTTCATATTCCTCACCGCTCCCTACTTTGTCACAAATAAAATCATCCATGACGACCTTAATGCTCCTTGTGTTTCTGATTTGGTCCAATCCAGATACTTAAGCTTCCATAACAAACTTCAGAACTATCCGAACCCTCTCGTTTCTAACCTTGCTTCCTCTTCAATCCCTGATAACCCTCCGAGGCGTCTGAAAAGAAGGTGGCCTCGTGATCTTGTGTAAATTTATTCTTATTTTCTTAACAAGTGATTTCATGTTATCATATTCTCGAGTACATTTTTTTTAATATAGTTGTAAATATCATGAATGAATAGTATATATATACATTCTTAAATGATAAACACTTCCAGCAAACAATAATAAATAATAATTGTAGCCTGTGTAAAACAAACGAAACAGAAGATCTCTATCACTTCCTGGCTGCTTGTCCGACACTCTCTGAATTTAGAATTAAATGGTTAAAGTCTAGATATTTATCTCGGGACCAAGTAATAGATTTAATAAATGGAGACAATTGTATAACATTGGTAAATTACTGCAAGTCTGCTTTCTCCTATTGAATAATGCTCACCAGAGAATTTAATAATTAATAAATTAGATAATTTTGATACCACGGTTTTTGTAATTAAAATATTTGTATAACTTTTACATTGTAAATATAATTGTTCTTATTTTCTTATTAATTATTTGTATATAAATAGATTTAAATATAATTTTGTTATAAACTACTGACTCCTCTGACGGTCAACAGACCATGTAGCACGTCTGATTTTCGGTTTTTAAATCCAAAAATATTATTTTTTATTGTTTTGTAATTTAAATTTTGTAATTTTGATAAATAAAAAGACTTCTTCTTCTTCTTCATATTTCATATTATTAATCTCGCCTTATTGTTGTTTTCACTTCTATCATGAAGTCTTAAGCACATATCTTAGTTTTTCTTTTTACTTTTATCAGTGTAATTTAGTTTGTTCAGTTTTATTTACTTTGTTTTATTTATTTATTTTTTATAATTGTTCTTAATTACTTTCATTTATTTGTCTGGTATTTATTTATATACTGTATGAGTGGATACTTTTAATTCTTATGCTTATTGTACTTAAATGTGGCAGATTGTTGTAATATTTAGTTTCAGTTCAACTGCTTTGAAAATTCTCCTCTTGATCCGTTTACTTTGAAAACTATCTGATTTTTTAAACCTTTTTTTTCAGTGACTTTATATTGTATTTGTACTAGGAATTTAAGGATCGAAATTGGAATTCTTCATTTCTTCATGAAATTCCCATTTATTTTTTCCTCATTCATTAAAATCCATCTATTCTAAGAGCTGAAACAGATTAATTTGTTATACACAATTTAAAAGAAAAATCTTTGAGTATTATTATAATTGCCAGGTGAGACGCAGAATTATCCGAGCGGCCTTCATGTAGCTATTATATACGGTCCCATGTAATATCTTAGGTAATTAGTATTCAAACTGGAGATGAGCTTGGTCATCGCTCTGGGATAGGTCGAAGGAAACAAAACAGAAAAAGCAACTTTCCAGTTTACATTTCAATAATTGTTTACATCATATGCTAATTTTATCGTCAATCTCAATATATTAATTCTAATTCGTGTATCCATGGATATCAGTTGGCGAATACTTATGTTTCATTGGTACCTGATAGACTTGGTAAGTATACAAAACGTATTATATATTAAAAAAAGGCCTTTTTAGTTTTAATAATTAATATACTTTATTTTAAATTTAATCTGAAAAATGTTCAAAATTCTTTATAGAAGATTTACTAGTAGATATTACCCCATTTATAAAATTCATATTAATATTAAAAACTAATATTAATTAGTCATATATATATAATATATATATATATATATATATATATATAATATATATAATATATATATAATAAAGAACGAAACTTGTTTAAATTTGCTTACAAAATTTAAAAGGATTTGTTTTGTTTTTTTATACTTGGTATGTTTTTTTACTTTTGTATTGATTTATTATTTTCAATAATTAACCATTGAAATCAACCGAAAAATTAAAAAAAATTACCCTCCTTAAAATTTGAGGTTTTATGTTTCTCGATATGTAGAATTCGAAAAACGAATACAAATGTTTTTGTCCGTCAGCCGTCCGCGCATTCTCTCCGAGACTACTGGACTGCTTTTTTTCAAATGGATTTGAAGTCAGAGGTCACCTGAGGATGATCCTCCTACATTAACTTTAATATCCGCCTTTTCCTTTTAAAATGGCGACCGAAAAACCTGTATTGCTGTAATTGCTATAGACTAGGGCCTAAACAGATGTACCGATTTCAATGAAAATTGGATAAAGTCTTTTCTTTCGAAACCCTTAAAGTTTATCTATATAACATACTTCACCGAAAATAAGTTGGAAAAATTACATGTCCGAATTACTCAAAAAGTATACACAACAAACAAATCGTTTAAATCGCACAATTTGGTGCAAATATTTTTTTTTAAATATTGTTCGTTTGTTCTACAGCAAAGCTTATTTTCTATGTTTTGGTATTAATATCCTGCAAGTATTACATCAACTGAAGCGATGTTTTTTATTTTTCTTATAAAATTCCTAATGATGAAATAAAAATATTAGGAATAATCTGCCAAGACGAGAAACTGCCAACAGATTCCGGCTACTACAACACTTACTTGACAAACGCTTTAAACTTCCAATATTCTACAAAAAAACTCATTTACACTACCATCATCAGGCCCATTTGGACATATGTTATTGAGCTTTGGGGCTCTACAAAAACATCAGATTCTTTCCGTATCCAATCCTCACAATCCAAAATCCACCGTGAAATCCTAAATGCCCCTTTTTATGTAACAAATAAAATTAACCATAAAGACCTCGACATTCCTCTTTTGGAATACTTGGCCCGGACTAGATATATCTCTTTTCATTCCAAACTCTTTGTTCACCCCAATCTTCTAGTTTGTAACCTTTCATCCAACACGATTCCTTATCTTTTTTTATTATCTTTGAAGTATGGTTTCAAAACTGGAGGATCAAAATAAATTCTAATAAATCCCATCAAATCACCTTTACCCTTCGTCGTAAACCAATGACTTGCTGTCCTATAGTATCCTTTAATAACACCCCACTTCCCTGTAGAACAAATCCGATACCTAGGATTCCAGCTGGACAAACGTCTAACTTGGAATCCTCATACAAGACTGAAACGACAAGAAACAGCTCGACGTTTCCGACTTCTCCAGCACTTACTAGACAAACGCTCTAAGTTCCCAGTCAATTACAAAAGACTCATATACATGACTATAATAAGCCCTATTTGGAGCTATGGGGCTCCACTAAACCATCGAATTCCTCTCGTATCCAATCCTTACAATCCAAAATGCTTCGTAAAATCCTCAACGCTCCTTACTTTGTCACAAACAAAATCATCCATAACGACCTTAATGTTCCTTATGTTTCTGACCTGGCCCAATCCAGATACCTATCCTTCCATAACACACTTCAGAACCATCCGAACCCTCTCGTTTCAAACCTAGCTAGATTCCTTCTCGATCTTTGATAACCCTCCGAGGCATCTGAAAAGAACCTGGCCTCGTGATCTTGTGTAAATTTATTATTTAAGTGTTAACAGTGGATGGTTGCTTAGCATGTGCTTTCATATTATTATATTCTCTAGTACATTTTTTTAAATACAATTGTAAATATCATGAATGAATATATATATATATATATATATATATATATATATATATATATATATATATATATATATATTGTAACATGTGTAATACAAACGGAACAGAAGATATCCATCACTTCCTGGCTGCTTGTCCGATACTCTCTGAATTTAGAATTAAATGGTTATAGTCTGGAAATTTATCTCGGAATCAATTAATAGATTTATTAAATGGAAGCAATTGGATAGCATTGGTAAATAACTGCAAGTCTGCTTTCTCCTATAGAATAATGCTCACCAGAGAATTTAACAATTAATAAATTGGAGAATTTTGGTACCACTGTTTTTGTAATTAAAGTATTTATTTAACTTTTACATTGTAAATATAATTGTTCTTATTTTCCTATTAATTATTTGTATAAAAATAGACTGAAATATAATTTTGTTATAAAACACAGACTCCTCTGACGGTCAACAGACCATGTAGCACGTCTGATTTTCTGTTTTTAAATCCAAAAATGTTATTTTGTATTGTTTTCTAATTTATATTTTGTAATTTTGATAAATAAAACAAACTTCAGAACCATCCAAACCCTCTCGTCTCTAATCTTGCTTCCTCTTCGATCCCTGATACCCCTCCGAGGCGTCTGAAAAGAAGATGGCCTCGAGATCTCCTGTTGTAAATACATTTTTAGAGTGCTACCAGTGGGCAGTTTCTCAACAAGTGATTTCATGCTATTATATTATTTTGTTCACATTTACTGAATGTATTTTTATTTATAATACAGTTGTGAATATCATCAATAAAAAAAAGAAAAAAAAATCTTTGAAGTGTTACTAATGGGTTGTTTTTTCACAAGTACCTTTACGTTATAAATTCCTATAGCAGATTTACGGGTTGTATATATGTTTACAGTGTTAAATTTCAATGAAAAAAAATATATATCGGCAGTTACAATTTTGATTCGTATTTCTCTTCCCCTAGCATATTTGTTTATTATTTCATTTAACAGAAAAATTTTCCTTTCTAATAATATGTTTATCTAACTAAATGAATTTCTTTTTTTCTTTTTTTTTTTTTGTCTGTGTTGAGGAGTTGAGCTTTAGCAGATACGCGGTTTCACACTCTGCCGTTCGACATGACACTTGCAATTCCCACTCTAGAAGCTGAGGTGTGTTGAAAGCTGTTGATAAATGCGCCCTGCCTAGTTAGCGAGGAACAACCTCAGAGCTGCCATAACCACATAGCGAATACCCAGTGCCAGCTGTTGGTGTTCGCTGACACCTCCCACTTTGGCTAGGTCGGGGACGTTGATGAAATGGAAGAGCATGAACCGTGTCGTGTCGTGTCCTCTCGAGTGGTCTAGGACCATTAGCCTGATGGGGTCCAAGAACCAATATTTTGCACAAATATTTGCACATTTGGTACTCGTCCAATTGGACCCGAGCAGGCGGCTGCAATTCCATTATAGAAGTTATATTTATTTTTATTCATTACGTATTCAGCTCTGAATATTTCTCAACGAGCCGAGACTATATATTTACACCTATTTAATGTTACTCGTATACGGCTACACCGTAAGTACGCTTATGTGTGTGAATTCATTGCTAAAAGATCTATTAACAGTTTTTTGAGTGAACTTCTGGATCGATTTATTCATTTTTTTTTTTTATTGAATATTAATACATTCTGCCACATTAAAGAGCATTAATATTAAGGCTAGATGAATCATTCACACAATATGTACATACAAATAACAACTAAGATTTCGATACTAAAGAAAAAGTAATATAGAATAATAAAATAAGTAAATTGATACGCCTTTGTACAAGTAAGTGTGGGGGTATTTCAAAATTAAAACACAAACCATTCTCCGGTGAGGTTCCTCAAAGGTGAGAAAATTCGTGTAAAAATGAGACCTGTAAAACATTAAAGAAAAAAACAAATGTAAGCACAAGAAAATAATATTAAATAGAAATATTCAATAAAGCAAAAAAATAAAGTAAAAAATCTCCTTCTATATGTTTACAATTTATTGAATAAAAAAAAAGACATAAAATATATACGATAGTTTTTTTTTTTTTTTTTTATTGATGTAGTAGGTCTCTTGGCCATTTTCTTCTTAATCTTCGTTGCTCAGGTAACAGGGAGCAGGAGAGATAGAAAGAACCAGAGGATTGGAGTGATTTTGGGTTGAAGAATGAAATGTAGTGTCTTTGTCGTGGATGTAGGATTTTACTGTTGGGGTGTTTAAGTCCTTATGTGTAGTAGTGTTTGAAATGTACCAAGGTGCGTTAACAATTTTTCGTAAAATTTTTTATTGTGCTGTTTGTATTTTGTTTATGTGTGTTTGTTTTGCTGAACCCCAAAGTTCTGCTCCATATGTCCATATTGGTATACAATAGTTAAAACCAAATAAAGAGTGGTATGAAGTTCACTGAAATGAATAAAACACAAAATATAATACTCAGTGAACATAAAACCCAAATTAACAATTATTAATAAAGCAAAAAGAAATCGATTTCTAAAATCATAAATAAAACAGGAGAGAAAAATGATTGTCCAAAAGAATAAAACTAATTTATTGAGAGAAACGAAAAATAACTTAATGTTCAAATGTCTTGGTGAGAATAAAAAAAACAAAAATACGAGCCAGGTTTGAGGTTCCACCTTGTTACCTATCGATGTCTAGCTGTCAAGTAATCGATGTTTGGGTGGCATCGATATGTATCGATCTCGATCGATTACTCAGCTGCGCCGAACAGCTGTTATAAAATAATGGCGCTAAGCTGGTGAGGTGAAACTGGAGCTGGGTGAAAATGGTGGCAGTAGACTTCTACTACATACGAAAGACAGCTCCAGTCTGAGGACCCAACAGTATTATCGCAGTATTTGTTTCTTAATCCCTAAGACAGGGTATTACTGCCGGGCTGGAGCGTATACACAAACGCAATAATACATCGCAAAATAAACCTACATCTATAAACAATGTACAATTCGGGGACAATTATCCCTCAGTTTTCACCAAAACAAAAATAAATAAACTTTTCATTATTAACACTTAAAAGGGGTTAATGGTGAGAAAAAATAGTAATTAAAAAAATAAAGATATGAGCGTATGGGGCGTTAACAACAAGAAAATGAAATAATAGATAAAAGCTAAATTAAATTAAAGTAAATAATACCCATTCACAGCTATGTACAATATTTACATTCACCCAGGGGACTCTGAGTCATGCGTTATCCCCCAATGTGGAAGCCTAGGCCCAGTGCTGCTCTCTCAGCCGCGTCACTGTTATTTGAAACCAGTGGAGACTGATGGAAGGCACTACAGCAACAGACGCTCATGTCTTGAGTGGAAAATCTGGCCATTGCCAGAACTCGAATATATAAACATTTACAAGGTCGCGGGGCCACTGCCGTTTTAATCTCCGGGGAGGATTGTAGGGATGACTGGAGCTAGATAGGGATTGTGCTACAGGATTTGGATGATGATTTGGAAGTGAAGTTCTGGTGAAATTTGGAAAATTTGTCTGGGATAAGGTCAAGAACAAATGGGATATGGAGGTCATTATGGAGAGTTTTGTTGGATACATAGAAGGGAGCATCGACTATTGATCGGAGGGCTTTAGACTGGAAGGATTGAATTCGTTTGATGTTAGAAAGTTTTGCTGGTTTAAGTCTGGTATAATTTATTCATTGAGACCTCTTAAATGTTTTGAAGCAATTAAAGATCAATATAACCGAAAAGCGCTTCAAATTATTACACAATAGTTTATTATTTTCAAACAATTATACATCGAAAGCAACATTAATTTCCTTGTAATTTTTTTTTTCTTACATTATACATTATTGCCATTATAGACCTGCCTCTCCTGGGCTATTTTTTTCCAGTTATCTGCACACAGTCCCATTGCATCTTTTTTGGTTCTATCTATTCCTTGTAAAATAAAGAAAAATAAATACATTTTTTTATTCATTAGTAATTTGCTAAGAAAAATAGCCAACATTGCTTCACTTGAAGTAACACTTCAAAAAAATTCGAAATCCAAAACACAAGATATAAGTTTGCAGTAAAACATATGGAAATATTCAGAACACCACATCTTTGCTCCAAATTGTCTGATTTGAACAATTTTATTTTTATTTATTAGGAAATTTCTAAAACTTATTAATAATCAGAGGTGCCCAGAGGGAGGTTTCATTGCGCAGTTTGCGCCATCATAAATTTTGAGAGGAACGAATTTCGACTGGGTTATGAATTTTTGGACGAAGGAATAAAGGGAAAAACTGGAACATACCACAGCAAGTGTAATTGTATATGATCTACGAGTTTTCTCAGCCCACCTTAGCTTGCTCAGTTTTTAAGAAAATTGAACAATAAACTATCTTGGGAAGAGGAGAGGGGTTAGGTTCTTGCCCTATCGACCTTGGTGGTATGGGCATCTATCTAAATAAACCATATATATGATTTATAACTATATAAATAAAAAGTGTATAGTTTTTGAGTTATTCGGAAACCTAATTTTACTACCCCTCGTAACTTTTTTTTCCAGCTTATTTTCGTTGAAATTTAAAATGGAATCGATATATTTGTTTAGACGTTATAGTCTACACCAACACTTGTTTTTCACCAGCCATCTTGAAAGGAAATTGCGGATAGTAATGTCGAGGTAGTAGGATCATACTCGGGTGAACTCTGATTACGATTCCAAATTAGAAAAAAAATAACATTTTTTTATTCGATTTTTGAGTTCTACATATCCTTAAACTTACAATTTCATTTTTTTTAGGGAGGAAGTTGAGTTTTTGAAATTTTTTTTTCAATCATTGATGGTTCGTTATTGAAAATAGATATGGCAGGACCTCTCTGGTGGAGAGCAGCTAGGGAAAGAAAAATGGTTAAAGATCAGAAATCCCGCATCCCAGTAGGGCTAGTCACCCAGGGAAGTGTTAAAGACTATTACTCCTAAGGAAAGGCCTATGCAAGAATAGCAAAAAGTTTTGTATAAATTATAATAATGTAAAAAAAAAAAGAAATCGTTTTATTTTGTTTTGTTTGCTTTTGAAATTGTTATATTAGTGCATAAATAAAGGCTATTTTCATTTCATTTCATCATTTCATAGTAAACCGAAAGTACTATATTTTAATTATTCTCAAAATTTTATCCGTTTAATAAAAAATTATTTGTAAGTTAGTGAACTTAGATGTTAAATATAAATTGTCAATAATAAATATGATAAAAACTATTTTTTAAATTAAAAATGTATTTACTTATATGCTTAAATGGATCGATAGATTCTTAGAGAAATTGACCTATGAATATTTAAACTTGGTGTAGCAATCGAGTGCATATTCTACGTAATACTTTATTTTCAAAAACTTTATTAAGTTACTCATCCTTTAATGTTAGTGGTCAAGGTTTCACATCCATAATGAATTGTAGGAAGAATAATGGTTTTGTAAATTTTAATTTGGGGGGCAAAAGCCGCTAAGTAGTTTAGTAACTGAAAAAAAGCAAGCATTTCCAATCTTAAATCTAGCCTTAACTTCCTCTTCAATTTCGCTTTTTCTTGTTATGGTAGACCCTAAATATCTAAACTTCTTCACGTGTTCGAACTTATTTCCTTCAATATTTATATTACTGAAGCTATCGCCATTTTTGCTGCTAACCTTATATTTTGTCTTGTTTTGTTTTGTTTGTATTATATATATATATATATATATGAAATAAAGGTATACTTATTCACAAGAACTTTTGTAATAACCTAGTTCTTTGTCACTCACTGAGATCTCTTATGTCCATTAAAAAGGATAAAGGTTTTATTTTTTGTTAACAACAGGGCTGAATTTTATCATCTTATAAAATTATATCCTTCCATTATTAATGTCGAAAGTTTAGTGAAAGGAGTTTTCATAAGGTAAAGGTATATGATTTACCGTTTATGTTAGTCAGCTTATTTTCATAATCGCTGCGGGCATATTGGCCGAGGTATCCCAAAGGCTATTGCATACAAGCGGCTTGTAATAAGGCAGAAAAGCAGCTATTTATTTACGAGGAGCTAAGTGCAATATGTATAATATATACTTTGTATCTCTCGTGCATATACAATACATTATATATTTTGTTTAACAACTTCTATGGAATAATATTAACTTTTTTTATTTTTGTTTCAGGTGAGTTCTTTTACTTACTTAGTTCTTCAAAAAAAAAAAAGTTTAAAAAATCGTAAGTACTTGTTAATTAATATATCTATACTAGTTAGCCCGTGTGAATAATTCGCAGACAATTTCCTTTAGTGAACGAATAGCAGAACGATATAGAAATGTATTATGTAAGAGAGGAATTAATTATTTTTCCTTGGACGAATACAATATTCCTTCAACATAATAGACCAAAATATTTGTATAAATTGCTTT